GGCCAAAATTTTGTATGGGAAAATTGTGGCATTTTTAGCATTTATTTTTACGACTCCCTGATCCTCATGCTTTGCAGACATGCCAGGGAGCCCTACATATGTACATGTACGTGTAGGGCTCCCTGGGCATGCCGGGTGCAAGCACACCACTCGCTACGATTCATTTTAGGTGTAAGTTCGTACCTAAAAATCCCGGGCCGTGGAGTTGGGTTTCAACTTTCAGGTGCCACCCCTGTCCATATAAAATTAGTATCAGCCCTGTACAGTGCGATCCCTGCAACATTCTGCTGTCCATAGCTAGCTGAACTGAACTACAGTATAAAAATTAATATTTTTAATACACGCACAGTAACCAGCAGTGTAACACCACACGGGTATTTTTAGCGTGTCGCTCACAGAGGGGGTACAATGCATTCGCAACCAAGATACTACATGACATGCAGTATATTGGGTGTAAATGCATCTGGGCCTCCTCTGTGAGCGACGCCCAGAAAATACCAGGGGTGAGGTGGGTGGTGTAGTTAGTACATTGTACTTGAAGTACAGTTGTGGCAAGTGAAATCCGACACTTGCTATAGGGGACAGCGCCTCAAATGGACATCAATGATGTAATGCACTGCACCTAATTTGTACTATAGAGCCGCATGCATCCCAAACAGGTCGAAAGGTCACAGCTTAGATACACACAGTTCACAAACATGGTACACATAAGGAGTATTGGTATCCAATTCCCAGTCATTTTTGCCAGCACCTTTTGAACCTTGACTGTGATGAGTACGAATTCTGTCATCAGACAGATAAAGTTGTATGCAACACATGTACTGTACGTATGCAGGGCTGCAGAGGCTGCAGGATGCACGGTGCAGTCCCTTATGCCAAGTGTCGGATTTCACTTGCCACAACTGTACTAGTGAGAGAATTTGTGTACACAGACTATACAGAGTGGCAATACCATAGTGCATTAGTGGCCGGGTTCACGTGTACTGTACATACAACATGTCATGTACAGTGTACCGGAGTGACGCGCATATAAGCACATGTGCCTATACCCGGGCATAAGCGCAACCTCACAAATAAACGCATGAGCTTATAAGTGAACCTAAATGCGATTCCATCCCACCACACACGGACACCCCAAAACACCATGCTCACAGTGCCATGTCACACTATTTGCATAATAGAGTTGCTAGTGTACCAGCAACTCAAGTACATGCACCTATGTGTGAGACAAAACGACCCGCAAAACACAGCAAAAATCACTCATAAGCGCATGGGCCTTTATGTGCGTCACTATGGTGTATGACGTGTACAACCGGAGACGGAGTGTGCATGCAGCTCCGCATCTATGTTGCATAAAACCACTCCACAGTGAAGTTTCTTGTTTAGATTGTCCATTTCTTGGGGGGGGGGGGGGGGGGAGGGAGAGAGCCAAAATCGCAAGTCAACCGACACTGTACATGACCATGCATTCGATTTTATCGTCCAGCAATGAGCATACTAGCCAGCATACTAGCCAGCTGCGTTCACATGGGAGGGGGAGAGGCCCGAATACGCAATGAAAGATGTTCGTTTCGGGGACGAGAAAAAAACTTCTGCGACGACGCCTTTATACTGGTAGTCACAGATCATTATGAAAAATGGGATAACAGTTCTACAGTGCCAAATCACTGTGTCACTAAGGCAGAAATTACTTCGGGGATGCGGTAAAAATAACCAAGAACCGGCAAGAGTACATGGAAACCAGAGCGTGCAGCTCGGATGGGTTGGTGTCACGACGAAATTCCGTGATAACATCATTTTAGTGATGTAGTGGGTACAAGCAGGTCTCTTTCTGCACAACTGCAGTTCAGTTGTACGCACTACGCCACTTCCTGCCTCAGATCTGCACCAAATATGATACAATCTGTGGGAAACACCCTAGTAAAAAATAAAATAATAACAAATCACAGAATTCCACCGTGACAGACACCCATAGTAGAAAATGCCCCAAGCTGCGCACTCTGGATTTCATGTACTCTTGGAACCGGTGCGAGACGCAGCAAAGACTTTGAAGTATACTAGTAGTCACTATGACCTAAACAAAAAACTTCAACATAGGTTGCCTCTCCCGGAGGTGCACATTCTGATTTTTGCAACAACAAAAAGATCGATAACCAGGGCCGTAGCACGGGGATTTCAGGTGGTCCCGTCAAAGGGATACTTGACCGGAAATGAAAATTATTGACGAAAAGTCAACAACCGCCGTTTTGCACAAATTCAGCAGGTCAACTTTTTCGAAATAAAATGCTACGGCCCTGATTACAAAAAAAGACCAAAACTAGCCAGGACTCAAATCACCCTCCCCAAATACTAGTGACAGCGAATTTTATCCACAATGATTTCGAATCGTAGTCCACATGCTCACCAGAAGTCTACCACGTTTCCAGTCAGGCAACAGAATACTGTGTAAGGCTTGTTCTGTCCCCAGGCCTGTTGCCTAATTCCAATGAGAAAAGTGAAAAGCCTACTAGAAACATGAACTAGTTGAAGATGAATACCGGTACGCGTGTACTTCATTCGCAGTAATAATAATTATTATGGATACGTGGTTGTGTGAATGAAAAAAAAAACTATAATGCTTTCTGTCTTTCCAGGCATGATGAGGTCTTTCAGTCAAGATCAACATAAGGGCATTACACTGTTGAACCTTGCTGTAACAGGAGCTAGGCAAGCAATGAGCGCAGCACTGTGCATAACAGTCAAGACAGCAGCACTAAGGCTATGCTGTCAGAGGAAAGCACGGACAGTGTTTGCCATCTGCCAATATTTACACACCTTCGCTTCACAGCTCCGTCTTCAGCAGAGTGATGGGTACACTGTCGTGGGCCCCTTGGAGAAGGATCTCGCCCTCGTACTTGATGATCTTCTTGCGCTTTGCCGCCCTCAGAGTTCCAACGAGCGCCTCGAACAGATTCGCACACTTGTCATCACTGAACAGCACACCAAACTTTACCTCGACTTCACCTGCAGCGTTAGGAGAACCCAGACGCTGGATTTCACGGATGAGCAAAGTGACTTCGTGATTGACGTCCATGATAATCGAGAAGGAGTTCAAGATTCGAAAAAACAGCAACACCTACAAGCAACCCGGCTTTTTCTAAAGAAAAACAAAAGTGTTTGTGTTTGATGAAGAACGCCAAAATAAGCAAAGAGGGCAAGTGGTTCAAAGCTCGACTGCGCAGCCTTGGCGGCTAGCTATGCTGTACCAGATCCAACCCATTCCATTATTACAATCACGTGATGACGATGCCACACAAAACTCGGTGCTGCGCACTGCACTGTGCGCAGCGTGTCTAGCGCCATGCCAGCACAGTCGACTCCACTTATAACGGACTCGCATATAGCGAATTTCGTGATCATAAAATTAATAATGCGAACCATGTACCAGTGTCCACGCGCCTGGTCCAGTATCACGTTGGTACATTGTATCAAGAGTGCATGTTTAGGCCGAGTAAAAAAAATTACTAGATGATCGTCCTTTTTTTTGGAAAAATCGGGGAGGGCGGGAGGATTTTATTTTTATTTTTTTACTTTTTACCCTCTCATGCACACAGTGTACACAACAACATCAAGGTTTTTTTTCTCTTTTTTTCTTTTTTTTTCTTTTTTTCTTTTTCTTTCTTCAGCAGATCGATACTGACGTTGTGATATACTAGTAGTATGTGGTCCATATAGTAAAGAAAGTATTAAACAAAGCGTGCACATGTTTCCTGCATCCGCGATCGGTAAAAAACCAACGATTTCGGCAAAAACTCACGATTTAAAAAATAAAATATTTCTTGGGGCGCTGACAAAAACTGGGGCGGACGGGGACGATCATCTAGCTTTTTTTTTTACTTGGCCTAGTAAAGAAAGTATTAAACAAAGCGTGCACATGTTTCCTGCATCCGCGATCGGTAAAAAACCAACGATTTCGGCAAAAACTCACGATTTAAAAAATAAAATATTTCTTGGGGCGCTGACAAAAACTGGGGCGGACGGGGACGATCATCTAGCTTTTTTTTTTACTTGGCCTTATGGACTCTTGATTGTATTACCAAGAGTAATAAGCTTATACTCTTGGTATTACTATTACCAAGAGTACATAAACCTTTATGTACTCTTGCTATGACGAGTTACTACTCCCGATCCTTGGTTTGAACCCATACAAAATCGACCCTTTATAGCGAACAGTTTTCGTCCGAGGGACGCCGCACGCAGCTTCATTTGCCTTCATTAATATGCAACTAACGTTGTTACTTGTACACTAAACTCAGTTTTTGTTTATAAAGAACTTCAAGTATATCTTGAAGGGCCACATATGTAAACTATTAAAGTGCAATCATACTGTCACGGGCGAAAATGAGGCGAAGTTCTTTATAACCGACATGCCCTCACACCATACAAGCAACACGTCCTGACAGGCATGTGGCCCAGGGAGTGACTCCCTGAGTGATGTGGCCCTTGACAGTATGATTGCCCTTAGTTTAGCCTTTGATTAGATTTGCGGAGTTCCCGTCACGGAGAGCTAGAGCAGATCCTCACGAATATCCAAGCACCGGCACCTGCACCGGCACCTGCCCCTGCACCGGCACCTGCACCTGCACCTGCACCGGCACCTGCACCGGCACCGGCACCTGCACCTGCACCGGCTTAGGGCCATGCGTAATTGTCAATCTTTTACACGAAACAAAAAGTTTCGTTTGTGTGGGTGGGTCGAGGAGTTTCATTCTGAGAAATATTGATAGCTGAAACATCAATCCATTCTAGCCGTCAAGTCAATAATTACATTTTTCGTTCAGGGTGGTGGGTGGGTGGGTGAGGGTCGATAATGCCGAATGGCCCCATACCAGTGCGGAAAAAGCTGATTCGCAGCTCTACGCAGTGAGCGGATTAGTGACCGGAATACCTGCATGCATTTATGACGAGCAAGTATGGTGTGTGCTTCCCACTGCGCCACAAGAACAACAACAAGTGTCAGA